GTCTATGCTAAGTCCCAAAACATATTTATTTCTCTCAAGTAGTGCTTTGATGTTGTTGACTGACATAGTGATAGCATGAACGATTGACCTTTGCTTTCTAAAAGCATACTGATTGTCACTCAGTAGTTTATTTGACTCAAGGTGCCGAGAGCATCTGTTTGTAAGCAGTTTTTCCATTACTTCCCTAGTGCAAGTAACAGGGAAATCAGTCTGTAATCTCCAAGTTTATTTACTTTAGGGACAAGTATCAACTTGGATCTTTTCCAGTCTGGGGAAGATGTTGAAATGTAGGCAAGTATTGAAGAGGTAAAGAAGACGTGTCAGATTTATGTTCCAAATTTGTTTGATGATCTTTGGGGGTCTTTCTGTTATTTAAGTTAGTGATTACTTTGCCAACTTCTTCATGCATGAAAGGGGGTGTGTCGGAGTTATTAATATCTACGTTTATCTTGTTTCTGATTTCATTATGAATGTCGAGATCTTTGTTTTTGTTGTCTTCTACACATATTTTTTGAAATATAGCTTTGATGATAGTTTCCAGATCGTTTGTATTTCCTTCTGTAGTTTCTGTGGTGGTCATGGCCTCTGATTTTCTTAATCTGTTACAGCTCAACTTGGTAAGAAACCCCAAGGGTCTTTGCTAGTTCTAGTGCAGTATTTTCTCCAGGATTTCAATTTAGAATCTTTTATGTGGTTTTTGTATTCTTTTTGTAGCTGTAAGTATTGTTGCTTGTAGATTAACCTTTGTGTGTTTTCTTTAGTTCTTTGATACTTTTTTTCTGAGGATGTTATTTCTGAGCGTTAGTTTAGACAGAGTATTGTTCTACTAGGAGATCGGTTTATTCTTGGCTCTGTATTTCGGTATAGTGATCTCACTCACATGCATCCTTAATAATTTTGAGATTTTGTTCAATCTTTCTCTTAGCCTCTTCCCTTGAGTGTGAGGGAGTTATGTCAATTTTATCAATAAGATATGTTCTCCATCTTTCCCAGTCTGCCTGGGCAGTGCAATATCTTGGTTCCTCTAGAATGTTGAGATTAGGGATGCTGATTTCAAAAGATATGTACTTATGGTCACTTAATGTAGTGTCATCTTCAACCTTCCAGTTGTGTATGTATTTGTAAATGTTAGAGGAGCTGGTTGAGATGTCTATCCAACTTTTTCCTCTGCTTGATTCAAAAGTTGGAGGTGAGTAATAGTTGTTCAAAATGAAAATGTTTTTAGAACTGCAAAACTGTTCAAAAGTTCCCCCTCTTTTGTCGAGTTTGTCACCTCCCCAAGTTTGAGAGTTCAAGTTAATATCCCCGGCAATAATAATGTTTTTGTTGGGGACAACATTTATTATCTTATTGATTTCTTCTAATATATCTTGAAGGTAGATTACTTCAGGACAATATATGTTAATTATGAGCAGTTTAGAGCCCTGTCCTTAAATTTCACAGCAGGTAATATATTGGTTGCTGTGATTTTTGTGAAATAAAATAGGTATGTTCTTATTTTCCAGAATAATAATGCTCCATGTATATTCATTAGTTCCCTGAAGTATTATACTTTTAGTGGGTAAATAAAATAAAATAAACCTTTAACTATTAAAGGTTTATTTTATTTTATTTATATTATTCATTCCAGTATAAGTTCTTGTCTTTATTTATTTATTTAGTGGGTAAACAAGCAGGTTTTTTGTTAATACAATGTGGTTCTTGTACAAGGACTACATCGTAGGTTTGAAGTTTTGTTGAAAGCAGCAAGATGGCATCTCTTCTTCTGCTGAGGTTTTTTTTTTATCTTTAATTTTTTATTCCATAGACTGTTTTTGCAATGATTATATTTTTAATTTTCTGATAAATGGGGCATATGTGGTCTATTGCATTGTGACTAGTATTTGTAAGTCTTTCTGCCACACAATTTTTACAAATAATAGTTTTTTTTTTATTATTATTTTTACATTCTTTGTAGCTATGTGTCCCAGTGCAGTGAGTGCATGTTTCGTGGTCTTCTTTACAATCTTTAGCCACGTATTCAAATCTAAGGCACCTGAAACATTGAGTCATTGGGAAGAAGTCAGTGACTCTGCACCTCGACCATTGTGTATTAATCTTTTCCTCTTTTATTAATAGATTTTGTATGTGTGGGGATGCCTGCAAAACCCAGTTGGTGAATTCTCTATCCCTTGTTCCCACTGGGAATTTTAAGATTAGTTTTCTTTTTAGGTCTTCAAGGATATATAATTGATTAATGCAATCATTCTGTCTGTGGATGTCATTTATAAATATCATCTTTATTCTGCTGATTTGGGACAGATTTTAATAATATTAGTGGAAGTTTCTTTTTTGGTAGCACTGTCGAGAATTGTGGGATTTTTTCATTAATCACTCTTTTTAAGGTTTTTAAATTTTCCTCCCTGAGTAACTCAAGTGAAATACCACCCTTATGGATATTTCTAATTCTTTGGACACCTATCTTTAGTTCTGTTGGTTTAACACTTCCCTAATTAGTTTTTTCATATTTTTGCAGGAGCTATTTTAATTTTTATCATAGATTAACAATACATTGTCAGAAAAACCTGGTAAGGATTTCTTGTTTGTCGGTTGACTTCCCATTTTATTTTTAAGTACTTGACTGTAAAGTAGGGTTTGCCCAGCAGCCTTTGAGTTATTTAATTCTATTTTAGTTATTTTTTCAAGAACCCGAGTTTGGTTTTCTAAAATTTTTGCTTGGTTGTCATTTTCTATAATTATGTCTAATTTATTGGAGATTTCTCTAAATTTGTTCATTTTTATGCCATCTTCATATATATCAATCACCCTTTGAATGCAACTTGTAATGAATTCAGTATGTTTCCGAATTCCAATTTTGGTTTCATTATTATTATTTTTTAAGTATCCTTTTAGGCCCTCAAGGACCAAGTACTATGCCTTTCTCAAATCCTCCACAACTTCTTCCCCACTCAGCTCCATGGGGACATTGCAATATGAATGTTAACAATTCTAATGTTAAATGTAATAAAATTAGGAGATACTTAATAGTCCATGAAATACAGAGTAACCATTAAAAACTAATGCAACTCCATAGACACGACCATTAGAAAAACCATTATTCTATTTTAAACAGTTAGAAAGTCTTATTGAATCTTTAATCTGTTGTAACTTCTGAACAGTTTGGTCCAGCTTTAAACTTTTGGTACCGGTGTCTTCCTCTCGCTGAGGTGAATTCAATGGTACCCAATATTGTTACCCACACAAAATAGTTTCCATGAAAACACAAGCAAGAGCACAAAGCACCACTGACCAGGTTCACTCACACGCCACCTAGCTACCTTCTCTTATGATGGCTAATTTCAACTCTCCAACTGTTTAGAATTGTCTTCCATTTTGATGCTCCATAGATTTTTAATTGGATTCAAGTCGAGAGAATGCTGGCCAGTCAATTATACATATGTTTGATGCAAACCACTGTTTACTTTGAACATCACTTATATAGCATCATCATGTCTTAATTTCTATTTTGCTCTTCTGATTGTCAACAGAAAGGATATATTCTGCTAGCACTTTCTGATATGCTGTTGCATTCATTCACTGATTTAGAAAGGCAATTTCAGATTTTTTCAACTTTCCAAATCATTATTGACCCAGGCTTTGGATATACTTGAAATAATCTTGCTCTTCTTTTCTTATGTTGTGCCAATAATGTTGATATCCATCCAGGCCATCCATATTGAATGTTTTTTGTCCTATCTGAAAACGATTTCTCGTCACTCAACTATTCAACTCTTCTTTGCCCAAGCGATTCTTGCTATCTTATAGTGATCTTTCAGACAGGATTGAGCATCTTTTTTGAATATTTTAGATGAGAAGATGAGCAAAGCACTTTTCCAATGGTCCATTTTGAAGCAGAATTTGGTTTGCAGTAATATTTCTATTACTAGCAGCTTGTCAATTTTTTTTTTTTTTTTTTTTTGTCAAGGATTGAAGGTGAAGAAGACCTTCCACTTTATTTGTTACTTCGATAACCATCTGTATTGTTGTTTGACCTCTTTCAAAGTCAGTTAGGACCTTTCCTTGAAGCATAGTAAAAAATGTGCTTGAAGTTTAAGCTGCAACTTACACTTTGCTTTTTAAGTAAAGAAAAATGCAGTATCCATTTACCTTCAGCATTATGCATTAAAAAATTGTATATTCTTACCATAGTAATCTAATTGTTACTGTACATTTCTTGTGTATAATTTTGCACCACTATGAAAGGACTATTTTTGCATAACTTATGTCTGGATTAATTGATCAGGATGGTATTTGATGTGGTCATTAGAAGCTGATGATAAAAAGATATGTAAAATTTTGTTTATCTACTCTAAATAATTCAAAAGATTTTTTTTAAAAGTTACACTGACCACACTGTATATTCAATTTATGAATTTATTTTTCCTGTACTCAGAAAGGGAATGTTTGACCGTAATCATGACAATTATAACTTGAAATAATGAACAGAGAAGAGTTGTCATGCAATATATAACCAAGTACAGCAGCATTTACAACAAAGAGTTTAATTAATTTTTCAGTGTTATAATTTATTTTTATTATAAAAGTTTTTAAAATTTAAATTCTGTATCTTGACACTTTGATAGCCTAAATATTGAGTGAGTTTGTATAGCTATTAAAAGATTGTTTAAAAGATGACTTTTTTTTTATAACAAATAGAAAAAAATGTCATCTTTTAAACTATAACTAAACTTTTATTTTCCTGATAGCTATACAAACTCACTCAATATTTAGACTATCAAAGTGTCAAGATACAGCATTTAAATTTTAAAAACTTTAAAAAGACAAAATTTAATATTTCATTCATAAAATATTTTTACGTGTAAAATATTTGTGAGCATTTATAGGTCAGAAATCTAGTAGATAAAAAAGAAATTGTGAAAATGATAAACTTCTGATTTGAAACTGAAAGGACTAAAATTTATTTACATATCTCATATTTAGTATTCATTTTGTTGTTTCAGTTAAGTCAGCAGAGACAAGTTTCCAAACCGTCTACATCAGCAGGTCCGGTTGATAGAGGAAGGTTTGTAATCAAATTATTTTTTCTGACATTTAAAGCTTCACTGCCAAACTCACATTATATAGTGTTTGTTAATGTAACTGTGGCATTATTATTATTTTAATTCACATAACATTTTACACCTTAAATATTCTTCTGAGAAGTTCAGTTTGATTGACACTAATAATTTAACTTTTAAAAAAATAATTAAAACTTATGAAAATCATTATTAAAACTGTTAAATAATTTAAAAATTAGTAGTTGAGCTGATTGATATTATATTATACAAGTTATGCTATTTATTCTATGCAAGTTATGAAAACATGCATAGAATAAATGACATCAGTTACAACTAAGGTTGTCACTTTCATGCAAATAAATTTAAAGCATTTTTTTTTACTAATTAGTCATTATTTAATAATATATTTACAAATTATATTTTTTTAATGTCAATATTTATTATTAAAAATAAATTTTTGTAACAATCTAAATTATGTTTTCCTGATACATCTCATCAATATGAACACTGTTGATTGCTGATGAGTTAACTGCTTGCTTGGGGTAATAAGTAACTGTATCATTACAGTTTCAATAAAATTTTAAATTAAAAATGATTATTATTATTATTAAAACTGGAGACAAAGATCACTGAATCCTGTAACTCATAATATTGTCTTGAATGATTAAAAAAATTAATCATTCAAAAATTAATCATTCAATTAATCATAAATTTTTTTTTCTTTTTGTTTTCTTAAATATGCTTTATAATCATCTAATTTTAAAAATAGCAAATGTATGTAATGCAATAAGATTGTATACAGTACTATTATATTTTACAAAATTTATAAAAAAAATTCAACAAGTACATTTGTGAATTTAAAAATAGCATTACTGCAGAGCCACTTACGGCAAATATAAAACCGTTGGCTCCCTTGGTCCAACAGTCTGTCACGACGGTACGTCACTCGCCCCATTCTCATTCTGTCACTACCATGACTCGAACAACTCCGACAGCCAGCATCAGACCAATCGCCATCGGAACCGTGTCTACGTCTGTCACCGTACCTTCCCAGACCAGAATGGCTGCTGTATTACCTACCACGGCGACTGCCGCTTCTGGAACGGCTTCAGTTTCTGAAGAAGGTAAGTTGCTCTTAATTGAGTTTCAAGATATTGCTTTTGAATGAATTATGTTTAAATACCAACTAGCTAAGGCTAAAATGTAAAAATTCTCTGATGCATATTTTTACTTGATAAGTATAAGACTTCAGTTAATCTTATTGACTTACATTTAAAAATTATTTAAAAAATTATTTAAATGTTTATGAATATTTTTACATATGTGTAATTTTTTATGAGTCTCTGTTATGGTATGCTATACTTTTTCTTATAATTATGATGCTATGTTTAACTTTCTAACTTTAGAAATTTATTTTTTAAATGGTATAATGCAACAAACTAAAATTATTTCCAGTAGGCAAAAATGTTCCTTACATTTCTTTCAAGCATAGAGATAGATGCATTGTTTGTGTAAATTTAAAAGGGAAATTGATTGGTGAATTTTATTTTGAAAAATAAATGCAAAAATGTTAAAAAAATAAAATAAGATAAAAAGATGAATGATAGTCAAAAAAGTTAGACTTATTGATATGGATAATTTTAGTTTAATATCATAAACAGCAAGTGTGTTTAGTCTTCAGATAAAGTAGAAGAAAGCAGTTTATTAAGCAATATTAAATGTCAAAAGTTTCATTATTGTATCTAAAATGTAGAATCTAGAAAAATTATATATTCATAATTTAAATAACTATTCTTACCATGTTTCAAAATATTTCTGAAAAAAAATTATCCAAATGAATATAAAATGGATAGGTACTTATAATTAACTCATAATTGCCAAAGCAGTGAGAAATTATAGAAAAGAAATTGGAAAGTTTAAGGGAGAATTTATAGAAGATAACTTCATAAATTGGCTCCAAACTATATGGTATTATACACCAAACAATGTAAATTTTTTTAGAAAGAAAAGATGAGACTGTATCAAAAATTAATTCAGTTCCCATACCTAGTCTGCTTAGATATTGCAAAACAAAATTTTAATGTTATTTTTTTACATTGGTATTTATGGCTAGATAATGTGATTTTTGAGAAAATGTGCTTATTACTAACGTACTGTACAGTATTAAATAAGTATATTTTCACCAATCATATTTGGATAAAAAATCTCATTATTAGTCACTAAAGATACTTATTGTTTCCTTCAAATACCATATATTAAATTAATAAATCAAAATTTCAGAATTTATTCAGTCAATAGACTTTGTTTTAGAAAATATATGAAAAATGTTCAAAATAAATACAAAATGCCAACATTTTAGGTTATTTCTTTGTATTTAAAATAAGATCATTTTTGATAGCATTAATTATCTTTAAAATTAAATATATTAGTACAGTACAGCAGAGCATCGATTATCCGACCCCCGATTAACCGTCACATCGGTTAGCCAACCGTTCTAGTCGGCAGATTTCAAATGTCTGCTAGTGATGTGGCGCTACAATATTTGGCTATGTCTTGGCTACTTTGATATTATTTTTGTTAAATTTTTGCGTGTTTTAGCTGGCAACACTGGCTTGACCATGAAAGGGAGGCCAGTGTTTAAACGATACCTAATTTTCTAATTATGAGCGGTTGTTTCTTTTGTGAGCAATAAAATAATTTAAAAATAATTTTTAATGATATTATGATGAGCAACAACTATTATTTTTTAAAAAAAATTTATTAGGCTTAACATCGATGAAAATTCAACGCGAAGTAGGTTAACGATATACTAATATACTAATTACATTTAACTAATTAATAGCAATATACTAATATACTATACTAATAATGTATTTTTTTCATTCTTTTCGGTTATCCAATTTTTTCAGTTATCTGATCAACCTGAGTCCCCAATTCAGTCGGATAATCGATGCTCTACTGTATATAGAAAATTACATTACTGAAGAGAAAAACACACTTTTCAGAGAAAGATTTTACATATAAAATTCCTTAAAAAAAATATATGCTCTTATCATACTAATACAGATTTAGGAAACGTGGCAATATTTAAGTGTGCTACAACAGACGATAAAGGATTTGTTTCATCTAACAAATCCTTTATCATCTGTTGTTGTTTTTATTATTGCATACTAGCAATATGCTATGTATTAGTGATCTTTAGCTACTATAAATAAAATAAATTTCATGAAATAGCATTGAAATTTTATAACAAAAATTTTATACTAAAACAAATACAAAAATCAAAAAATATTTAAAATATGTATTAATAAATTGATTGGTATTTCTATGTCTAAAACTGATTATTTATTCAAAGAATCTTATATAATAAAAATAAAATACAGGTGCTTTACTTCTTATGAACAGGTTAGGTTCTCGAGGTTTTATTGTAAATCAAAATGTTCGTAAGTCAGAAAATAATCTAAAATGTACGTTTGTACACAGAATACTCATACTGTTTCAAACATGTTTTTGAAGCTACTTGAATTTTTTCAAGTAGTTTTTTGACCTAACTCACTTAGTTTTATAATGTCAAGTTTAGTTTCCACAGTAATAAAGTAACACTTCTTGCATTTATCTCCACTGCTAGATTTACTATTATGTTTTACAATTAGTGCTTCAAAAATATGACCAAAAGTCTATAAAAATTGCAAACAGTAGTGATAAATGCCATTACTCCAATGTTACCAACTTTGATGCCACCTCACAAGTGGCAACAGAATTTGAGAATTCGTGAAAAAACGAAAAATGACAATACTTGATAAAAATAAATTCATATTAATTATTTATTAAAAATTTATTATTTATTATTGCCAAAGACTGACTTCAAAGCCACTCCATGAGCATCAAGAGAACTCAGAATCCATGCAAAATTTAAATTTTAGACATAAGGTTACATTGTAAGTCTGAAAGTTAGTAAGTTGAGCATTCATAGTAGGGGAGCTCCTGTAGTAAAATTGTCAAAGATGGTAAAAAATACAGTCAGTAAATGAAGGAAGATGCAATGCGGGCAAACTCATTTGGAAAGCTCTTCAAGTAGTTTAGATTCAAGTTTATATAACTGTTTTAAAATTTAAAATTATAATACTTTTTTTCAGTGATCAAAGATTATTAAGATTATTATTGATTAGGCAGAAATACTTTGGAATTAATGTAAAACTATAAAAAAAAATAAGATTTTGTTTTGCTAATAGAACATAATTATTTTCATATCAAATACATTGCATTTGTCATGTTTATAAAATTCAAGTTATGTAAATATTTTATATCTTATTTATTATACTTATAGAGTAGAAATGTCAAATTTTTAGCCAATGTATTAAATCTTTTCATGCAAATCCATCTTAAAAACTGAATTGCTATTACACAAAAACAAACAAGTAAAAAATGTACAAAAATAGTACATATTAGAGTCAAATTTTATTTAACAATCTTGCACATTTTTCTAAATTTTTGTGTAAATTAAGAAACAATTGGCTTGCAGAGATAATAAGTTGCATGATACTGCTCTAGAATATATGATAAACTTGCATTTTAAAGTTTTATTTAAATAAAATAATAATAATTAAATCAAACTACTGTAAACAGAAATTCGTTCTATTGCTTCTCCAACATCTTCGCATTTATCACCAGCACTCCCTCAAGCCACGGTTCAACCGACTCCTACCGTTCCGACTGCAGCCATTACATCTGTTGTCGTCATAGGAGACACACCATCAGCAGCAGTGGCTCCTTCCCCTCATGCTGTATCATTACATGAACCGTCTTCATCATCATCTTCAGGTAAAAATGTTTCTAGATTTAAATTGATTTTTTTTGATATGTTTGATTTACATATTTTTATAAAATAATATTAAAATATATAAGTTTTTACTAATTCACTGGGTCACAAAAGTATCCAGATACCTATAAAATGGAAGAGTTTTTTAGTTATTACTCATTTCTTACATGAAATAGAAAAAAAATAATGACAGATGTAAAATCTTTAGACTGTTTTACACTAGAAAAAAAGTATTTATCTGTACATGTACAAAAACATTGATAAAAAGGAGAAATATACTTGATTTAAAACTGAAAATTTTCACATCACAAAAGTATCCAGACAGAAGAAACAAATAATGATAAAACAAAATATTTTATATTTTTAAGAAAGAGCTGGGCCTCCTTTACCCTGATAACAAGTAGGCATTGATTCATCCAAATTTTTATAACAGTTTTGTTTATTAAATTCAAAACTCTGATGGTAATGTTTTTAAGATCAATTTTGTTTGCTATTGGTTCTGTTCTGATTGTTCATTTAATGTAATCTTATAAATGCTCAATTGGGTTGAGATTGGATGATTGTGGAGGCCAAGGGAAAACTTTTATACAGTGCATGTCAAGAAACTGACTGATTTTCGAAGTGTGCTTAGGATCATTCTCATGCTGGAAAACAAACCCTTGATATCTTAATTTTATCCTGTGTTTAATTTTCTTACTGTTTTCTGAACATTGTTATTTAAAATCTATTTGTACCTATATTGATTTATTATTCTATCAACAAATTGCAGAGTTCCAGCATTATTTGCAGACATATGACTCCAAATAGCACTAAACCATCTCCACATTTCACTGTAGTGATCAGATTTTTCATTTTTAAAGATTCTCCAGCTTTTCTCTGTACTTTCAGACAATTATTTGAACCAAACATATTGAATTTGGATCATCTGACCTCAAAACTGATTTCCAAAATATTACTGATTTTTGTATAAAAGTCTTTTGCAAACTTTAACATTTACTGCTGATTTTTTCATATCCATAAAATCTTTTTAGCTACTTGGTTATAAAGTTTTTCTGACAGTTTCTGCAGATATATGTACAGTACTTTACATTCTATAGAAGCCTCAACAGCAATCTTAGGAGCAATTATTTGTTGATTTTTCTTCACTTTCCCAACAATGACACATTTCTGTCTTAAGGTATTAATATGTGAGAGATTGGACTTGAAAAGAAAAAATTTTTTTTTGGGTGAAAAATTAATTAAAACTTGCTATAATTTTCCCCACGATTGTTAAAAGTGTAAAGGATATGATTTTATCTCTCTGTGGAGTCACCTCCCTTTCAAGATGAGACATCAAATGTGTCACCAGGAACTTGGCAACAAAAGACTGTTATTGGACATAGGCACTGCAACATTGCCAAAAAAGGACAAGGGTGAAAAAAGGAAGGACCCCCAATAAAAGACAATGACTGATGACAACAAGGGTTTGTTCATCCAGGAGAGTTCATTCGTTTGTCGTTCGCAAGAAATCCTTACACCAGAAGTTTGTCCTCACCAAATTGCCCCTTGCTCTGATAGGAGGATCCTGGATCTCATTCTAGATGGAGGAGGATCCTGGAAGGATCCTCCCCCATCTAGAATGAACTCTTTAAAATTGACTCTTGTGAAAGTGAACTCCTTCCATCCAAGAGAACTCCATTTAAGTGAATGCTAACAGCCCTTTGATTCTTCTCAGATTCCTTACCAGGTATCTATAGAACCTTATATGTAAGCTCTCTCTCTCTCTCTCAATGTATAATGCGAATTTGTTAAATCGGTTATATCATAAATGCAACCTTTACTTTAAATATTAATCTTTTGTGTGATTAATGTAATAAATGGAAATTGTTCTTGTTTAATTTGTGTTTGGTGCACTTCCTCAATCCATGCATCTCTCGTGTCGGATCTAAGCACCTACAAATGCGACCACTCATGCAAACAAGACAGAAATTGCGGCCATTTAGGTTTCTGTGTCTACCTTAAAGACACAGTGGTGTCAGTCCTGACGAATTAGTCATTACAGTCTTTGCCGACGCGATGTTGACCCTTAGGTCCTGTGGTGCCGAAGCATAGGGGGGGGGGCGCTTCGCACATTGTCACAAATATTTCAGGACAGCCAGTCGATTCTTATTAACTACACTCTTTGTCATAAGGAATTTCGTAATGATATCTTGGATTTTGGAATGTAAAACTGTTCTTCAAGGGTTTGTACAGATTTCCCTTTTTGCTATTCCTTAATAAGGAGTCCTTTAATAACAATATTTAATTTGTTTGTTTTCATTGTCCACAATAACAAGATGAAATAATTCAAGTATGAAACAAACCTTTTAACTTGTTTGCTGTGACAAATTGTTGTAAAAATATTTGTAAGCAAAAGATCTAACACTTTCTATCATTTATTTCATTTGTCCAGATACTTTTGTGATGTGAAAATTTTCACAGTTTGAAATAAAATTGTAATTCCGTTTTTGATTAATATTTTTTCATATGTCAGTTTAAAATAGTTTGACGATTTCAGATCTGTCATTATTTTTTCTATTTCATGCAAGAAGTAAGTTAAAAGTAAAAAACTCTTCTATTTTTTAGATGTCCGGATACTTTCGTGAGGTAGTGTATGTACATAATTCGGGAAAAAATTGTGAATAGTAAATTTATTANGAAACACGTGCCCGCTGTTCGATGTGCTGCTCTTTGACAAAAACAAGCTTAAGAAATGGCATCGTCGAACGGTGCACACTTGGTAAGTAATTCTACAATTTTTTGTTTATAGCATAGTTTATATGGATTATTGCCAAAAAATTATACATGTTTTGGAAATTTTGAGTCAAATTAATCTATAATCAATTAATTTTATGGAAGAAAACCTTTCAAACAGCTGTAGTCCCTAAACTGCACACATGCCAGGCTTTGATTGAATCATGTATTTAAGTAATTGTAAAACACTAATTCAGATAAAATGGAATGTATCTACCGTATTATAGGGGGTCTACTGTACGCTCTTTTACAATGCACTATAACCCAATTTATAAATGATAATCAAATTCAACATTTTTGTAGGTTAAACGTATTGCAAGGAAATATAAAACACAATATGACGAATTAAAAAGTCAGTATGACGAAGTAATTAAAAAGGTAGAAGTCTTAGAAACTGCTGCAGTCAATAAACAGGAAGCCTCGATGACTCAAGAATTGTGTCAAGAATTAGAAGAAAAATTAAAGGAGTCTGAAGACAGAAATAAATTAATGGCAGATGAATTGGGAAAATTACGAGAGGTACCGTACATATTTTTGTAATGTGTTTGTATGATGCCTTTCTCAAAATTTGAAATTTTGTCCAAAATTATCTCAATTTTAATTTATTAAGGATTTGACCCAAAACTCAATCTTATAATTTATAGATTAAAACTTGCATATTTTACATTCAATATCACTATTTTTTTGAGTGAGCTAGATTTTGATACAGAATGATGTTGTAAAACTTATATTTGAAACCAAAACCAATTAAAATTATTCTGCTATGAGGAAGAGAGAAATATTTATTACTCTTTCAATAGTTTTATTTTGAATGTAGATTACAATTGTTAGTTTAAATCATCTTACATTTTTGTATTATTATTATTATCATACAGTATTTAGTGGGTTATACTCGGTTCACACCGGTGGCTGTGTACTATGCCAGACCAGAGTCAAGGCATAGCAACCAAAGACTAAAATTAAATGAGTGTGTCAGTGTCTGTATTCAGGAATTTCCTAACAATATGGCATGTATTCAATATAGTGGCCTTCTGTAGTGTGATGCATGTATTTCTATTCATTTGTAATGTTTCCAGGCTTTTGTGTAGTGTGTGTGGTATCACACCTGTACAGGAGAGAATGACAGGTACAATAAGCACCCTATCCATCCTCCACAGATGACTTATTTCCTGGGTGAGTTCTGTGTACTTGCTAATTTTTTCAGTGCATGTGTTTTGTACATTGTGAGTGTTTGGAATGGCTATGTCTATAATGTATGTGATTTTATTGTGTTTGTCAATGAGTGTGATGTCTGGTCTGTTGTGGTNATTTTATATTTTTAAGAAAGAGCTGGGCCTCCTTTACCCTGATAACAAGTAGGCATTGATTCATCCAAATTTTTATAACAGTTTTGTTTATTAAATTCAAAACTCTGATGGTAATGTTTTTAAGATCAATTTTGTTTGCTATTGGTTCTGTTCTGATTGTTCATTTAATGTAATCTTATAAATGCTCAATTGGGTTGAGATTGGATGATTGTGGAGGCCAAGGGAAAACTTTTATACAGTGCATGTCAAGAAACTGACTGATTTTCGAAGTGTGCTTAGGATCATTCTCATGCTGGAAAACAAACCCTTGATATCTTAATTTTATCCTGTGTTTAATTTTCTTACTGTTTTCTGAACATTGTTATTTAAAATCTATTTGTACCTATATTGATTTATTATTCTATCAACAAATTGCAGAGTTCCAGCATTATTTGCAGACATATGACTCCAAATAGCACTAAACCATCTCCACATTTCACTGTAGTGATCAGATTTTTCATTTTTAAAGATTCTCCAGCTTTTCTCTGTACTTTCAGACAATTATTTGAACCAAACATATTGAATTTGGATCATCTGACCTCAAAACTGATTTCCAAAATATTACTGATTTTTGTATAAAAGTCTTTTGCAAACTTTAACATTTACTGCTGATTTTTTCATATCCATAAAATCTTTTTAGCTACTTGGTTATAAAGTTTTTCTGACAGTTTCTGCAGATATATGTACAGTACTTTACATTCTATAGAAGCCTCAACAGCAATCTTAGGAGCAATTATTTGTTGATTTTTCTTCACTTTCCCAACAATGACACATTTCTGTCTTAAGGTATTAATATGTGAGAGATTGGACTTGAAAAGAAAAAATTTTTTTTTGGGTGAAAAATTAATTAAAACTTGCTATAATTTTCCCCACGATTGTTAAAA